TTTTTGGTCCAATCGCTCCAACCTAATGAAAGAGGTACTAGCATGTGGAGGGCTGATAACAATTTTCATGCGCAAAAACCTGGTAGTAATTTGTTGTAGGGAAGGAAGACTGACATTTTCAAGCTGAAAAAAAGGATAATGATAAAGGACTACTAAGGTATGGACCATGTTATGCCGTTGAGGGATGTAACATGCATTATTTAAACACCATACTGATTAAAATACTAATTATAGCATATTCTTAAATGTGAGTGTGTTTCATATTTTTCATTTGATAGGTAGTTTTATCATTATTTAATATTTATTTATGTATTTTTAAATTATTATTTACTTCTAAAATTTCTTTTTATGTTAATTTCCTCAAAAAAAAAATTTTAAAAATACTTTATTTTAATTTATTTACATTATTTGTCTCAATATTTTGTTACTTATATTTTTAAATCAATTTTTTTATTTTTAATCTTAAGTTAAAATTGTTTATATTATTTTATTTATTTAAATTATGTATATTTTTATAATTTTAAATGACTTTTAATTTATTTCATTAGTTTTATTTAAATTAAAAATTCCTTATGATACTCGGCGGGGATAAAAGCTCGCACCTACATATCAGGATTTGAAATCTACAAATTTCAGTGAATGAAACGTTTTAGGATATAAAAATATTCATTATTTTGGCGTGAGTGGGGATAGCTCGAAAAAGGAAAAACCGAATAATGGCTACAATTATTTGAAAAATTAAATAAAAGTTAAACGAATAGTAATCGAATGACAGTATCATTTTCTAATATACAGGAATGTATAACCATAACAACACAATTCAGTTCAGAATTCATATCTGTACCTGCCTGAGTGTACACTCGTAGTCTTCTTAGTGAGAAGGGCCGAACGGATGCTTTAAACGGACTCTTCAGAGGGGAGAGGTACCTGCAAAAGGTACTCCGACGCTCAAGTTAGGATATGCACGATATTCTAGGGTAATTAATGAACAGTGACCTACCTTGTTACATGTGATCTATTTATAATACCTGACATGGGCCTGAACGTGGTGGGCCTATTCTAATCTTTACCAAATTAGGTAATACGATGCTAATCAGCTAACCGTGTCTTAATTATGCACTTATCCTTGTTAACTGTGATTTGTACTATAACCTGTTTAACCTATCGGCACATTGCCGAGCCGACAGGCTAATGCCGGTAGACGTTTACTTGGTAATCCTATCGGATCGGCATTGGGCCGAGCCGATACATAGTATGCGGGAATGCATCATGCTGCTTGCATCGGCCTTCAGCCGAGCCATTATGCGCCAGTTGACAAATCTCGGCCTTCGACTATAAGCCGAGCCGATGCTAACGTCAGCCTTAGGTATGGTCCAGTTCGCATGAGTGTCTGACGGAACGGCACGTATTGGTCAACGTGACCGATAGGGTCCTCCCGGTACAATATCCAAAGATTTTTAGGATCGGTTGATGCTAACCGGGACTCAGACCGGAATAATTCAAACCAATCGAATTAATATTTAAAAATTGAAAAAAAAAATTGAATTAATATATTTTATAAAATTAGTTTAATTATCTTATCTATTTTTATAAAGTGCATCAATATGATTTTTTTTTAAACAGAGATCCATATATAGGTGTAATGTAGATAAATTTTTGAACTAATCTAATTAAAAAAAAATTGATTCATATTTTTAAAAATTGAATTGATACACTTTATAAAAATTAGATTACTTAACCGATTTATTTTTACAAAATAGATTTAGTTAAGTTTAAATTTGTCAAAAGAAATTTTTAATCAAGTTGTAGTCAAAATTTACTACACTTGCATTGCTTTCTTTTCTTTTGTTATAGTTCCACCGTTATTTCTTTCCTTAGGCTTTAAGTTTATGTTTTTATTGATATTTTACCTATAAAAAGCAATACATGCCTCTATCCAAAAATATCAATGTGCGAGAAAATTAAGTGAATCAATTTAGATTGTTTTACATATTATTCCTCTTCACTCTCGTTTTTGTGGTATGTGTGGATATTTTATCTCACTGATACAATTGGTATCAAAGCTAGAAAGTCTAGTGGCAGTATGAGAAAAAAAATTTGAGTATGTGAGAAATAAGAGAGTTCTCACTTTTGTCAGAAAAAAAATATAGAGTTGTTATATTTTTAGAGAGATATAACCACTATGTTTAATATTACCTAGTCTAGTCCCAAGTTAGGAAAGAAATTAGATTTTATCTATTAGGAGATTTTGATAGTCACACATTTGAGAGCTCACAATATTCAGAATTTTGTTGAACCGGGATTAGCAAAAGGAGTTAATGATACGATTAGGAGGAGAGACTAATTAACGTTGTCACAAATTCACCAAGGAGTAGATTATTCTATTTTTGGTAAAATAACAAATGTCAAAATTGGCAAAGAAATATTAAATATTTTAAAGTCATAATATAAAGGAGTAGAAAAAGCTCAAAAATCCTAGTTGTAATCTCTACGAAGGGACTACAATTCTGAATCTGTGAAACAACACTTTTCACAAGTTATAAATCTCGTCAATAAAATGAGAGTATATGAAGAAGATATTCCTGATAATAAAGTTGTGGAGAAAATTCTTCAAACAATGTCAACGAAGTTTGATTGATAACTATAATAATTGGGTCCCATGACATAAACACCATGACTGTATTAGAGTTGCATGGAAGCGTTGCAATTCATCTAAGCAAAATCTTGAGAAGATAGAAAAAGCTTTAAAAAGTCTCGTGAAAATTACAAAAGAAGAGGTCGAGAAAACTTCAAAGGTAGAGGATGTGAAAATTTTAATCAAGGACAAGATAATAATTCTGGATCATTCAACCAAAGGAAATGAGAAAATGCTTTCGGTGCATCCGACCGTGGAAGAGGATGTTGTAATAATCACCAACAAAGAAAATTTTAATTGTTTCTATTGTGGAAAGTTTGGGCACAAAGCTACAAATTGTAGATTTAAACAATGAGTGAACGTGGTAGGAAGTCATCAAAATATTTGTGAGAGTTCTTATAACCTACAAAGTTTATTTTTGGTAAGCAATACATTTTTTGAAGATACAAATATTTGGTATTTGGATATTGAATATAGTAATCATAAGTGTAGAACAAAGGATTTATTTTCATCTTTAAATGAAACAATAGAATCTACAATAAAATTTGGAAACGACACAAATATTCATATTTTGGAAAAAAGGCCAAATTGTTATTAGATTGAAAGATGGTTCACAAAATTTTATCTCTAATATTTTATATGCTCTTGGTTTTCATCACAATTTATTGAGTATGGGATAGTTATCATAGAAAGGTTACAACATGTAGATTTATCATGGATACTACACATTATCAGACAAAATGAAAGATCTATAGCTAAGGTAAAGATAATCCCTATTTGCCTATTCCCTTTAAAATTTGACATGAAAAGTTTTCTTGTTTTAGTTCTATTATTTCAAATGATGATTGGTTGTGGCATATGCACTTTGGACACTTTCACTTTTTTGAATTGAATTATCTGTCAAGAAAAGAATATGTTTATAGCTTGCCTATTGTGAATATTCCCAATGGTGTGTATGAGATGTGTGATATTGGAAATAAGCATAGAGAACCATTTCCAACTAGAGTGTCTTGGAGGGTAAAGAAGTTGTTGGAGATAGTTCATTCAGATTTGTGCAATGTTGGGATCCCAACTCATGGTGGTAGTAAGTATTTTATTATTTTCATTTATGACTTTAGTAGAAAGAAGTGGGTATATTTCTTAAAGTAGAAATAAGAAGCATGCGATGGCTTTAAATTGTTTAAGGCATTTGTAAAGAAATAAAGTGGTTGCAAAATTAAAACATTGAGAATAGACAAAGACCAATAATACTTTGCTTGTACAAATTTCTTTGAGCAACATAGAATTCAACACCAACTAATAACTAGATACACACCTCAACAAAATGGAGTTACTAAAAGGAAGAACAAAACAATCATGGATATGGTGAGATGCATGTTGAAGGTCAAACATGTGCTTAGATAATCTTGGGCAAAAATAGTTGCTATTGCTATCTATATCTTAAACAGGTATCGAATAAAGAGTATTCATGATAAGACATTAGAAAAAGCTTGGAGCGGAAGGAGACCTTCAATTATACATCTCAGAGTTTTTGGATGCATAACAAATGCACATGTTCCAAACCATCTCAAAAATAAATTGGATGATAAAGGAGAAAAATGTGTTTTCATTGGCTATAATTCAAATTCAAAGGCATATAAACTTTACAATCTGAAAACAAATAAGGTAATTATTAGTAAAGATGTGACGTTAGATGAGAAAGGCATATGAGATTGGTCTTCTAAATCCTAAAAGGAGAAAATGGTGATCTTTGACAACTACGAAGAGTCTAAAGGAACACTACATTCGGTTGCTAATGAACCAGAATCTTCTAACATACTAAGGAGGGGTCGTCAACTACTAACTAGATTGGAGGATTATGTTGTGGGTAATGATAATGACTTATCTGATGAAGAGATTATTAATTTTTCTTTATTTGCAAATTATGAGTCAGTAACTTTTGAAGAAGCCTCAAGTGATGGAAAATGGAGAAAAGTAATGGATGACGAAATTCGTGCAATTGAGAAGAATGAAACGTGGG